TTGGTTTTAATTGCCGTTTGGACTACATATTTTTGTTAAAAAATATCTGTAGAACTAATTTTTTTATTCCAAGAGGTAATAAAACCGTTTCAGCAAATTGTCACACAAGTTTTTGACAACAAATGTTAACTTGATCCTGGTGCTTACTTGTTACTTGAGAAGCGAGGGTGGAAGTTGTTGAATTATCTAAAACGTATTTTTTATTCATTATCTAAAAGGAGTTACAATATAAGTATCTACGTCTATATAAATATAAAACTTAAGTCTACACCCTTTTGCGCCTATACCGTTGGTAATTTATAAATTCAATACCTTGCATAAATAGGAGAGAAATAACAGCACATTTCAACCCTCTTCGCGTTTCGAGCACAAAACAATCTGTTTCAAAATATGGGAAACGATGCCTTTTTGATATTTTATCGTTACAATCCGCCACACAACACTTTTTACGGTCACATAACTTGTTCCTATTTTAAATCTTTCAAAAGTCAAAATTGACATGTGCAAAACCATGTGTACGTATTAAATCGACGGTAAAAATATTTCCTGTAACGAGCAAAATTACAGGTTTTGCAAAAAAATATTTGAGTCTGCGATAAATAGTTCTCTGTACAACCACGGGAAACGCTGTAATCAGTGACAATTTAGCGCCATTTATGTTTCTGTTCTGTGAAGGTCTTATTCTGTGTTTGTGGCGCAGGTCTGTTTGTTAAGGTTGAGTACATTAGCAATGGACATAAACGAAATAGCGATTATTAACCTAGTTCTTGAGAACTTATTTGACGCCGAGAATCAGGTAGAAGCTGCAGGAGAACCTCGTATCCGTGAGAGACAAAATGCTTTTAATTCACTCAGTAATACACAATTCATTAAACATTTTCGCCTTTCTAAAGAATTAGCTAGGGATGTAATTACACTAGTTACGCCTTTCATTGAACCTCCCAGCGGATCATCCGCAATAGACATTGAAACCAAGGTAAATTATGTACCTATGTATTTAAATGCATTAACAAAACTAACTGAAGGTGCATCTACACTTTTTGGGTATGGGTCCTATCAGGAATGTGTTGGAAAACATATGTGTGCTGCAGTTAGTCAACCTACCATCAGTAGAAGCCTACACCAAGTAATTGAACGCAAAACAATTAAATAACACTGGAGTAAGAAATAACCTAACATAACCTTTTTCCTGCAACATATATCAAACTACTGTGCCTACCTACCCGTAAAGTAGTCAAAATGAACTCTTGCAGTATGGCAACATAGCATGAGAACAATTCAAGTTCGTGAATATGAATTTTTTATTATACCTGAATCACAATCTCCGTTTTAAATACTCAAATGCGTGCGAAAAAAGGCCTTTAAAACACACGTGCTTTAAAGTTGCTAAGTAACGATACTTCAAGTATGACTTTTGAAACTGTCATCTGGGGCTGAAATAAAAAATCCTCTTAGGTCGCTTTCTGTAAATGCATAACATTTCTTTGGCTTGTACCTATCCTTTCCTTGAAGGCTTCACAAACGCGCGTAATTTAGGGTATGCTTCCAAATCTGTTCCACTTTTTAATCGCAGCATTGTTTGAAGTTTTGAGTTAATGCACCAAAAGATAGGAGATTTAAATACCTTTGACATTTCCTTCATATATCCCAGCATTATCGATGCATTTAAGACTTTATTCGTGTAAGGAACTTCCTATTCATCCATGGAAACAACTTTTCATATTCTTTATAATAGGCTTTACTGGATTTGGATTTTACACCTACCAACGTTTGTTTAGATTTTACAACAAGCGATTTAATGGACGGTGTATTATCTTTTTCAACGGAAATCGTTTCATTCACAAAAACGGTGATTTTTATAAGCAACCGTCAAGCGACATTTCCATGGCAATCGTGAAATTTCGGACACCCAGCCCACTTAATTAAACATGTATTCGAGTATAACGTCAATATGATTTCATTGTATTCCCTATTTTTAAATTATACTGCAGGTATAATAAAAAATACTATAAGATACACGTGTATAATTGGTCTTTAAAGCACTTGCAACGTTAAAGGCACTCCGCTTTGCGTCGTGCCCTTAAACTCGTTGCTCGTGCTTTAAAGACTTGATTATACACTTGTATCTTAATATACTATTATTGGGTAGGAGAACGGTTAGGAGATGTGATTGTTCCTGTTCTATTAAGAGAGACTTCCTTTCTCATGAGTTCGGGAATCGGTATCCAGTAGTCATCGGTCTGTGTACTCCACTCCATATTTAAAGCTGGCGAACGGAAGAAAAACAACTTCACACAAACATGTCCCAATATGAACTGCGAATCCCTTTGTGTTCGTCAAAAAAACCCACAGGAAACGGTTCGCCACGAACCGCTCAGGAACGGTTCGCGAGCGCTTACAAATTCCGTCCTAATCTAACGAACCCGTTGTTCACGAGCGGTCCATGAATGGTTCGGATCGCATATGTATAGGCACCTTTAGAACTCGTGTTCCGCGGCGCTACACTACAGCAAGTAAAATTCATACAATTCATACACGGTAGACGTTTCGTGGAAAGATTGTCACGACCGTATTGGCGTACACATCTTTTCAATTTTTAGCTTCCTAGCGCGAGCCAGGTACCTAGCTATTGCGATAGCCGTTTTTTGGACATGTGAAAATTTCATCAAATGTCGACGTTTTAGATCATTTTAAGCAACTTTCAAAGAATAATTTTTTTCCGTCTGTATGCACGTACGTGCGTATGTTGGCCATTTTCCGAGAAAACGGCTCGACGGATTTTGTTCATATAGTCGATCCGTCAGAATGTTAATTAAGGTGAATTCTTGCATCCAGTTTTGTTTACAGTAATGTTGTTTACGCATACCTGATGCAATTAAACTGCAGTTCCAAAAATTTTATCGAATTGGATGCTTAATGCCTGAGCCCGATACAAATTCATCCGATTCGATAAAATTTTTAGAACTGCAGTTTAATTGCATAAGCTAGGCGTAAACAATACGGTCACGGTCATCCCGGCTATTTCCATCCCGGTGATGACCATCCCGGCACCGACTTCCCGGCGACAATCCAACCCGACGACCATTTACTTCCCGGCTTCGGTCATCCCGGCGATTTAAACCCGGCGACGGGCAACCCCGGCGATAGGCAATCCCGGCGATGACCATCCCGGCAACAGTGCACGTCCCGGCTTCGGTCGTACCGGCAATTTGGTGTTCTCAAATATCTTGAAAACAAAAAAAATGAGATTGCTTAATTTTAAAATGATTTCAAATCAGCTCAGATTTCAGAATTCTACAAAACTTTGCCGATGTAGGTACCCTTCTTTCTATCGAACGGACACACTGCGTATACCTACAAAATGGAGCGTTAACAGTAAGTAGGTACTTTCACATACCTTGCCTATTTATTATTATAAAGGAATAGACAATGAACAGTGTTCAATTTTTGCAATTGAAAGATATTAAATTTCTGTATAGAAAAAACAAAAGAAAGATGGGGATGGACTGGGATCATTTGGAAGGTATGCAATGCTGGTATACCGATGCCGGAAAATCAATAGTCGCCGAGATAGGTCGTTGCCGGATATAAATCGCCGGGATGACCGATGCCGGGATAGTAATGGTCGCCGGGATGGGTTGGCGCCGGGAAAACGGTTCCGGGGTGTACGTCGCCGGGATGGGATCCACCGTAAACAACGTTACTGTAAACAAAACTGGATGCATGCGAAATTCACCTTAATTAACATCCTTTGACGTAGGCGATACGACCTAGAATCGCTTAACCGTTGCGGTACCGTATTTTGTTCATTCTTATTCTGCACGTCAACAATAACGCGATGCAGTTTGTTTAATAGAATTGTTAATGTTTAATCGACGACGTGAAGTAAAATAAAGTTAATTACATATCGACTATATGTTGTATACGTATATTAGGTATACGGAACAGAAAAATAACGGGCCGGATTTTTGAAAATGGATGGGTGATCGCTTGCGACACCGTCCGCTGTTTTTAATTTTTTTGCTCCGTTTTGCCATTTCTATTTTAGAGATAATTTTTGCAGTTTAGTGAAATTGAAAATTGGTTTGTTTAGACTTCCTTCTTTTCGATACCTTCATGTTCATTACAATTGCAATAAGAAATGGGGAAACATTTAAAGGAAATTTTGATGGTATAGGTCCATCTAATAACAGTAAATAAAATACATGCGCAAAAAATCGTGTTGCAAAACTCAACATTCTTATTTATGAAGCAATTTAAACGAAATTTTCATGGTAGGTCCCTCTAACAATAGTAAATAAAATGCATGCGCAAAAAATCGCGTTGCGCATGCGCAAAACTCAACATTTTTTATTTATAGAGCAATTTGAACGAAATTTGGATGGCAGGTCCCTCTAATAAAAGCAAATAAAATGTTACTCTTTGGTTATACAATTCGAAATTTATCTCGAAATTTATACAAGAACTTGAAATAGACTCTTGGGGGTACTTTATAGGTACAAGGCACATCTTTTAAGTGTAGCTATAGGTACTTTAATAGTGAAGCCTGAAGCGCCATTATGAGAGACCGTTTTGGGTGTAGTGTGGGTAAAACCATATCTCGGTAGTTACTTCCCCCCCCCCCCCTTTAATAACATTGAAAGTTACTAAGTTTAATTCAATGTAGATACATTAAACGTGCTTTAAGATTCTAATGTTGATACACATTTTTTTAGCTACAAGGGATGGATGTTTTTTTTAGAATTTAATCTTTATGTAACGATTATTCAATTTAATCTTTGGTTCTGATTTGTAAAATTTAATATTTATATTTGCATTCTAAGTGAATTAGTTTAACCCACACAAATTCTTATTCAGTTTATTAAATCGAAATTAAATGGTTTATTTGGTGATATTATGTTAATCCATTATTTTTTCTTTGGCATGAAACTGTTTTAATGGTTATTTACTTTATTATGTTATATTGCAAGGAATGAATAAAAAATTCCGTATTTTTGCAGATAGCTTCGTGGGAGACATTGCGATTGCCAAACAGGAGTATAGCAAAGAAGTGCTACGAAAAGAACAATTATTACAGGAAGAAGTTGAACAGCACAAAAAAGAAGTATTAGAAGGATTGCAAATTGAGGAGGAAGGTTTGACTGATCTCATGAGAAAGAAAACGAAACAACCACCTGCCGTAGTTCCTTCGCGTAGTTACAATGATTTGATTGAGGACACCGTAACACAAGTGCCAATAAAGAACGGCCAAGTACTCCAATCTTCCAATCATGATTCCAATTCGAAACTTCTCTATAGTAGCGATATTAAAGTGAATGTTACCAAAAAAGTTCCTACAAGAATACGGCACCGGAAACGGCATACCTTAGAAAAAGGTATTATATTAAAAGTTAAGAAAGTAGAAAAGTAAGCTGGTTAATTTGTTATCGTCGTAATTATATATTATTGCTTCGTAGGTCTTCTGCAGAAAGTCAAACAAATCTACCTCCTGTAGTTAGGGGCCTCGAGGAACTGCCAACGCACGAATTTGAACCTCACTTTGATTTCAAGTCGAAACAAGTTCCTAATGCGTACAAGGTGAGAGAGAAACAGCATCATCGTAGATTTACCAGAGCGGCGACAGCTCGAAAGGAACGTGTATGGGAATATGGAGTGATTCCTTATGAAATCGATGGGAACTTTAGTGGTGCACATAAAGCGCTATTCAAACAGGCTATGAGACATTGGGAGAACTTCACTTGTGTTAAATTCGTTGAGCGTGATTCGATGGAACATCCTAATTATATTATTTTTACAGAAAGACCTTGCGGGTATGATTTCCACATCTTATTTTCTGATGCCTCACTAACTCTCATAAACTTTCAGGTGTTGTTCTTTTGTTGGGAAGAGGGGAAATGGGGTACAAGCAATTAGTATAGGGAAAAACTGTGATAAATTTGGAATTGTGGTACATGAATTAGGACACGTTGTTGGTTTCTGGCACGAACATACAAGGCCCGATAGAGATAAGCACGTACTTATCAATAGAGAAAACATCATGAATGGTAAAAGAATTGATTAAGCCAATTTACCATATATTTTCCCATTTTTTTAAGGACAAGAATATAACTTTAATAAATTAACTGATGAAGAAGTGAACTCATTAGGATTAACGTATGATTACGATTCAATAATGCATTATGCTAGGAACACATTTTCTAAAGGCACATATCTTGATACCATACTTCCAATAGACGTACCAGGCCGAAAACGTCCTGAAATTGGCCAACGTGTCAGATTAAGCGAAGGTGATATTGCGCAAACAAAACTTTTGTATAAATGCCCAAGTGAGTATCAATAATAATCTCTCCTTTCAAATAAAAGTGTTATGAATAGAATGCGGAAGAACGTTTCAAGCAAATTCCGCGACATTTGCCTCTCCGTCCTACGTTGGCAAGAAGGTAATGGAGGAAGAAAAGTGTGAATGGAGAATTACGGCAACGCACGGAGAAAGAATAGTTTTAAACATCACAGAATTAGATATACCCAAATCGAATGATTGCCGTACTGATTATGTTGAAATACGAGATGGATACTGGTATAAATCAGATTTGTTAGGCAAATTTTGTGGATCGGGAAAAATTTCAGATCCTATTGTATCAACTGGAAGTAGAATGCTTGTTAGTTACATATCAAAGAATCCCTCTGGTCATAGGGGATTTACTGCTAATTACGAAGGTAATTCAAAAATTCTTCCCATCAGATTTTCGTTTTTATTGTGTGCCAAACTTAAGGTTTCAAAAAGTGCAGGTATAAACGGTGGTTTGAATTAATAACATGTTTTTTTGGACACTTGGTCTTTGAATCTAAGCTCCCCGATCATAGAAATACTTTTCGAAAATTTCTACCACGAGATGGCGTACACCTCAACGGGGGGGTAGCGGGCTGATCTTTAAATATTAAATTTTTATAAATATTTTTCATCTGCAGGTTCTGACCAAGCAACATAGGTATATATAATACACACGTAACAAAAACTGCTCTTGGTCTACACTCGACCGGCACACCTACGTTCCAGGTGAGGCGGGAGCATGCATCACACATCTACTAGTCCATTCCGACACCTGATTCACGTACCTACTTAACTTTTTTGCGCGATCGGTCATTTCTGACTATTTACCATGGGTGTTTCCATGACAGTACGTAGAATTTACCAGTTGCTATGATTACGACGACGCCAAAATTACTTACCGATCTAAAAACAGAACAGCAAAAATACTTACCGACGCCTTTTTAAAAATCAACAGTCTTACATTACATTTAATCTTTAATTATTGTTAGGTACATTAAACGTACAATTTGTGCTGTTGTTTCCTATAGCAAGACGCTCATAAAGTCATAAAGGAAGTGCAAAGCTAGTAAACTACATCAGACACATGCACATTTTTATGAAATTATTAATTTCAATTTTGACATTTAAACTGGTTACCTAGTGATGTACACCATACCACTTCGATTATTTCGATTTATTCTGCTCGTTAATTTCTTAGTGCATATTTATATTGGTTGGATAATTTTAATTTCGATCGCGCAAAAAATGTTATAAGCACGTCGAACGTTAAGGGTTACCGTTCTCAGACAATAATTGGAGTCGTCGCTTCGCTCCTCCTCCAAACAATTGTCTTCGAACGGTAAAAATCCCTTACCGTTCTCCATACTTAATATACTATTTTTTAGAATGTCATATGAAAAACTGTTCGACAACTTTGTCCTTGAACACCAACACAAGAACACTTGGGGTGGATTTTCATGTTTCCTTTAAGCCCATATGGCGTTTTTGATTCTGTTTCATTACCATTAGTCATTTAACCTTTAGTGTCTACTAACTGTAAGTGTACCTATACCAGAATATGGACCCAGAACACAAAAATAATTGCAAAAATACAAGTCACATTTCAAAGAATACGTTGAAATTAATAAAAGTGTGCTAAAAAATGGAAAGCTCCCAAGCTGCCTTCAAATTTCTTATACTTATATACCTTTTCCTTTTAGCGGTTTGCGGAGGTGAATTAAACATAGATACGGGAGGTCATTTAGAATCTCCAAATTACCCCGAAGATTATCAGCCAAATAAAGAGTGTATATGGAGGATTACCGTTCCAGAAGACTACCAAGTCGCACTTAAATTTCAATCATTTGAAGTCGAAAATCATGACAATTGCGTTTACGATTACGTAGAAGTGCGAGATGGCCTTACAATGGACAGCCCCTTAATTGGCGTGTTTTGCGGATACAAAATACCGGCGGATGTTCGATCGTCATCAAACCATCTTTCGATTAAGTTTGTTTCCGACAGCTCAGTGCAGAAGGCGGGATTTTCGGCGACATTCATAAAGGAATTTGATGAGTGTAATAAAATTGATCACGGTTGCGCTCAAGAATGCATCAATACATTGGGAGCGTATGAGTGTTCGTGCAGAATAGGATACGAGTTACATTCTGACGGGAAAAACTGCGAAGGTGAGTATTGGGAAATACCTCAAACTGTACCCGCACTAACGCTCATTATTTCCTAGATGCATGCGGTGGAGTTATTGATGCTCCTAATGGGACAATCACATCGCCTTCATTTCCAGACTTATACCCGCAAAACAAGGACTGTGTTTGGGAAATTAGAGCGCTTCCTAAATTTAGAATAACACTAAACTTCACTCACTTTGATCTGGAAGGAAATAACATTCATCATCAGCAATGCGAGTATGATAAACTTGAAATACACAGTAAAGCGGGAGAAAATAGACTTAACAAACACGGAAGTTTTTGCGGCACGAAACCACCACCACCCATCACTTCTGATGGAAACGCATTGAGGATTGTGTTCCACTCTGACACCAGCATTCAAAAATCCGGTTTTGCCGCTGTTTTCTTTACAGGTAAAAATATGAATAAAGTATTCTGACCAATTACGTGCATGTTACAGATATGGATGAATGCGCAGTTAATAATGGAGGCTGTCAACATGAATGCATTAACACTTTAGGTTCGTACACTTGCGCCTGCCACAACGGGTTTACGTTACACGAAAATGGTAGAGACTGTAAAGAGGGTGGCTGCAAGTACGAAATCGCGGCTCCATATGGACAATTTTCCAGTCCGAATTATCCCGATTATTATCCCAGCAGAAAGGATTGCGTATGGCATTTTTCAACTATGCCAGGTCACCGCATTAAAATTATGTTCATGAACTTTGAAATGGAACCCCATCAAGAATGTTCATATGATCACATCGCATTTTATGATGGTGATTCGCCTGAAGCGCACACGCTTGGTAGATTTTGCGGATCTAAACTTCCACATCCTATCGTCGCGTCCGGAAACCAAATGTTTCTCGTTTTTAAATCGGACGCATCCGTTCAAAGGAAAGGCTTCCTTGCAACTCATTCTACTGCTTGTGGTGGACATCTACTTGCCATTTTAGAGAGAAAACAGTTTTATTCTCATTCAAAGTACGGAAGCGGAAGTTACGACAATCGAGCGGATTGCGATTGGACCATTGAAGCCCCGCCAGGGTATAATGTGCATTTAATGTTTGTTAATTTTGATTTAGAAGACGAAAAGGACTGCGGTTATGATTATATTGAAATATTTAGTGGTTTAGATGCCAGTGGCGCTTCCTACGGGAAATTTTGTGGAAATTCGGTAAGGACTCTATTTTTCATACACGGGATAACGATTTTAATGTTGCATATTTACAGAAACCGACGGATATTATATCCATGCAAGAAGCGCTTCTTATAAGATTCCGCTCGGACGATACAGTAGTGGGAAAAGGGTTTAGTATAGCATATGAAGCAATTGAGCCTTATGAAAGCGAAGAGGAAGTTTAACAACTTACATTACAAACAGTTCATAAATTTTAGTGTAGATGACACTCTGTGTACGACAACGTGAAGTATTTTAAATTCATTTTTAGCAATAAGGTGGTGTAAAAGTAAAAGCATGGCCTTTTAGTTTTTCAAGTGTTCCCCAAATGAACAATTATTTAAACGATACGTTCTCAGACTTTAGCGTATTTATTACTATACAATTTGTAGCAAAACTTAAAAAAAAACGGAGATACGAGGAACAGTTTGTTAATTTAGGTACGTTGTTCGTTAAAGAACGGTAAGGACTAAATGATTAACAACTTCGTACATTCTCCGTTTTTTTTATAGATCTAGAAAACAAATCGATGTACTTCGTGATTTAAGAAAAAAACTTGTGCGTTGTGAGTATGTTGTATTCGTTAACGGTAGATATTAGGCAATAATAAATGAAATGTAAACTTTTTGTAAGAATGGTTCCTTATAAACAATGTATTAAACGTTCTTTCTGTACAAAATTTGCCTTAGGTAATCCTTAAATTAGTAAACCTAGGGACCGGGGCCTATCGATCCTTTTGGCTTTTAGCAAGAGGTGTCAAAAAAGTTATCACAGGGATATCAACGAAAGTTAAACCGAAGACGCCGTTACGCTTTTAACTTTGGTGCTCTAAACCCTTTAGGCAATACACACTTGTATATAGGTACAATAATTATTAATGACGTAATGACAACGAGAGTGGCGCTGCGGCGATTTGGTGGTCCAGCTCCATACTAACACATTTCCAGCTCCATTTGTGTTGCCATTTTTTAAGCCTACACCGTTTGTCTATAGTGGGTAAAGTCAACGATGGTACGTCCTCTTGAACTATGTTGGCGGATGACTGTATCTATGAATAGTAAATAAATTGTGCTGCCACATCGTGTCGAATAGGTGGTACTATCTAATTACACAATTGGTTTGTGTACCTAACTTTGTATGTATGATGGGTTCCATAACCTTGGTCACATTCCTTTGCTTATTTTAACGAGGGTCGACATAGATTAAATTTAAAGGTACACGCAAAAAACGATTATACAGTATCATCAGTTTGTAATTCAACAAATTCAAGGCATGTTTCCTTTTATTCAAATACCTACTACCCTTCTGCTCTTGTATACTTATAGAAAGTGGAAATTTTGTCCGTATAAATAATCTGCTGTCGAAATCGCAAACCAAAATGACATTTTTGACGTTCATTTGTTAATGTACGGTAAGTGATTGCTTTGATGTGGTGAATTTAAATTAAAAGGATACATAGGGGAATTTGCTTTATTTAGAAAAAAACTGTTTGTTTTTGTTCATTTAGTCATATCTACAATTATTGTAATCATCATTTTCAGTAATACTTCATACCTCGCTTCATACTATGCGATCAAAAAAGAGTTGTCGAATCACATTTTTGTCAATGTTTTTTGATCGCCCATTATACGACAAGCCTCGAAATTGACAGAGCATTCCGAGGGCCGGCGCTACGGGGATACAGTGAAGTAAAAAATTAACCGCGGCGAGAAAATCGATACTCGGGGCAATTCATATTTTGTTACTGAAAATTCACCCCAAGCTCCCATAATCGCTACCCCTGAGCATACCCGGGGAATTTCTTGAGTAGAGCTCGACTCTGCGCCCACGAAAACCCCCGAGTAACAATTTCTAAGTGATTTTTCCGGTTTTTCATATTATGTTTATACCTTATGCAATTGATAACATGCATTTTTGCACCCCTATGATTTTTTAGGAAATGCAATTTTCAATCTATGATTTAAAAACCTGTCTTCTATTCCGGAGGGCAAAGAGTAACCTTACCATAATAAGAGATCCAACGCCATAGAGAATAGTATTGCATATGTATTGTGTGTTGCCTAACAAATTTTAGTGCTTTTTCTCAATTTTATTGGCGTACGCTACGCCTAAGGGGCTATTTCAAGGCAACTGCTTGTTTAGAAGTTTATAAATATCATTGCAGAGATCCCAGCGTTGCCAAATTTTTAGTGTTTGCTTGTACTTATTTAGGTATCTATTATTCCTTGGAATGTATGATGTTTAAAGATATTTAATTCCATTCTACGCTTATGGCACAATTTATTATAAGGTCCGAACGCTTGTTGGTTGTGCGAAGATATGTTCTTCGTGTAGAGATCGTTCCAAAACTAAAAGATAATGGGCGCAGAAACTTGTTTTGAAACAAATGCAAATATACTATCTAATATCAAAATGTGGGCATATGTTATTTTGTGTTTGCAGTGCTCATAACTGTTTCTCACATCATGTTTATGGGGGACGTTTTTATTTATAATTTAATTCGCGCAATCGTGACATTTCGGATTTACCGACGCACATTTCACCATCTTTTAGTCGTGAAACAATCTCTAACAATCAGTGTTATTCAGGCGACCATTGTTATCCCTACCAACTTGTAATTTAGACAAGCCTTGTAATTTGCGCAAGTCTTGATTAAGCCGTTTTTTGAGCGGTAAATAATAGTTTTTTTACTGTGTATTCCCAGTAAGCGCGAGTAATAAGCTCGCGTTGATTACGTCTCTGCCCTTGCCCCTTTGTACACACTGTCCGTCGCCTTACCGTCGACGGACGTGTGGAAAAGTCGACCGAACTAGATCGTTTAGTTAGAGGAAGTAGTCTAATGCTACGTTTCCACGCTAGTGTCGGTTTTTCGACAAAGATCAAAGGGTGAATCTGTTTGCGCTCGTGTACCTGTTTACATGCGTGGACGGGCTTGGTGCGATTTCTATAAATTTTTATCATCCACCACCTTCTCCGAGCTCTTCGTCTCTTTTCAATTCGTTGTTGTTGTTTTTTCCAATAAAAGTACGTATGTCAAACCGAACGGAACAGCTGCGTCCGCCATGTTTGGTTGTGAGCTTGTTCTGAGTTGTGCTCAGATGCGTGTAAACAGCTTGCTTTGTACGCGGTGATTCGCCGAGCAGCTTACTGAGATGCTTGCCAGGCTGCTTGCCGCGTGTGTAAACGTAGCATAACGAACGATATTTACTTCCGACTTGCGCGGAAATAAACGAACATTTTTTGAAAAAAAAATACGCCAATATACGTTTTAGGTATAGCATTTATTGTACAAATAATAAGTTAAATGAAAGATTCCCGGAAAAAATGTAGCAATTACTTTTTAATTTTTGCCGGCCAAACTATAAAAAATATAATAAATCCAAAATAAACTGCCTTAAAATTGGATTACACCATTATGGTAGTTGTGATCGAATGGTTCAAATCAGTTAAAAATGTGATCTGTGGACCAGCGCAACCCCACCTCTTTAAAAATGGTTTCTTTGCGATAACTGAAAAATTACTTGGCCGATTTGGACCATATTGTTTACCAGTCGATGTGACTAATGTCCCCTTTAATCTCATTACATTCCAGTCCGATCGAACCACGCATTCCGGAGACATTTAAACGTTCCAGAAACCCTATATTTAGTGTGGAAGTCAATGTTGTTTTCAATTTACGCCCAAACTCGAGGTCACATGGAAGGCGTAGTTCACGACCCAACATAAGGCAGGCAGGAGTCTGACCCGTGGTCTCGTTGACGGCTGATCGATACGCCATAAGGAACAGGTGGAGGTACTGGTCCCAATTTTTCTGATGTTCTGCCACGACTTTTGAAAGATATTTACCCATCGTTCGATTCATTCTCTCAACCATTCCATCTGACTGAGGATGCAAAGGTGTTGTTCTGGTTTTATTGGCTCCTACCAATCGACAAACATCTTGGAACAAAGCCGATTCAAAGTTCCTTCCTTGGTCTGAATGGATTTCTATAGGAACACCAAAACGTGTAAAGAACTCCTTTACCAACACTTCTGCAACTGTTGCTGCCTCTTGGTTTGGAATGGCGTAAGCTTCAGTCCACTTTGTGAAATAATCCATAGCGACTAGGATATATTTATTTCCGCCATCTGTCTCGGGAAACGGTCCTGCGATATCGATAGCAACTCGTTCCATCGGACTACCAACGTTATACTGCCTCATGGGTGCCTTCTTCTTGGAAACTGGTCCGTTTCCAGTAGCACATAACTCACATTTTTGACACCATCGCCGGACATCTTCTTTACGGTTGACCCAATAGAATCGCTCACGTACCCTTTGCAACGTTTTCGTAATACCAAAGTGTCCTCCGGAAGCGCCGTCATGCAATTTTCGCAATACTTCCGACACTTTGCTTCTAGGTACTACTAATTGCAGCGTCGATTCGGTGCCATCTTCACTTTCAAGGGTCCTATACAACAGGTTGTCTTTCAGAGTCAGGCTATTCCATTGGCCCCAATAACTCTTTACTTCAGGACTTGTGGCACTAATGTCTTGCCAGTCTGGTCTTTGTCCGTGGCGCATCCAATTCAGAACAGTTTTTATACTTGGGTCGTTTTCTTGGGCCGTTTTGATTTCGCTTGGCTTCCACTCCTCACTCTCTACAGTTGTTCGTCGCAGATGGCCAATCTTGTCTTCTATTTTAGAACAATGTGTGCAGTTGTCCTTGCACGGTCTTCTTGACAAAGCGTCTGCATTATTGTGAACTTTTCCAGCCCTGTGTTCATGTCGTAGTCATATTCCTGAAGACGTTCTAACCATCTTGCCACCTGTCCTTCTGGGTTTCGGAACTGCAAGAGCCACTTTAGCGCCGCATGATCTGTCCTTATCAGGAACTTGCGGCCGTAAAGGTACTTATGGAAATGTTCGCATGCCTTTACCACACCCAGGAGCTCTCGCCTAGTCACACAATAATTCCTCTCGGGTTTCGACAGTACTTTGCTGAAATAGGCAATGACTCTTTCCTGTCCGTCTTGCAATTGAGAGAGAACAGCTCCAATGGCGGTGTTACTGGCATCGGTATCTAGCACAAACTTTCCTTCATTTCTGGGGTAGCCAAGGATAGGTGCGCTAGTAAGAGCTTGCCGGAGATGTTCGAAAGCTCTTTGACAGTCTTCACTCCACTCGTACTCATTGCCCTCTTCTGTCAACTTTATTAATGGTTTGGCAATGTTGGCAAATCCTTTCACGAATCGTCTATAATAGGTGCACAAACCGAGGAAACTTCGAATCTCGTGCTTGTTCTCAGGAATCGGCCACTCTTGAATCGCTATAATCTTCTCTGGATCAGCTGTAACACCATCACGAGATACGATGTGCCCCAAATATTTAACTTCTTTTTGGAACATAAAGCATTTCTTGGGACTTAGTTTTAAATTGGCCTCTCGTAATCGTCCAAACACCTCTCTCAGGTTCTTTAGGTGTTCTTCAAAAGTTTTTCCTACGACAATTACATCATCCAAATATACCAGACATGTCTGCCACGTTAGTCCCCTTAGAACTGCTTCCATAAGTCTCTCAAACGTCGCGGGGGCATTACACAATCCGAAAGGCATTACTGTGAATTGCCAAAGTCCAGAGCCTATAGAAAACGCGGTCTTCTCTCGGTCTGTCGATTCCATCCCCACT